ATAGGAGGAAGGGACTGAGGCTGAGAGTGTTCATTCGAGGTTCGGCTATGGAAGATACTTACCTGGGTTGGATGTGACCTGCAGAGGTGGCGCTGATGAGTAGTGACCACGTTGATGACTTGGAGACTATCTGCAAGAGTAGCGCTGATTCACTGGAAGTCATATTGACGAGTGGACGAGATTGGTGTTGCGCTGATGGGCGCTGGACTCAGGGAACTTTGAAACACTTTGTATTCATATTTCTGATAATATAAGCTGCGAAACTCGGTCCCTTCTTCTCTACCTTTGTCTATGGTTCAGACTATTGATCACTGCGTGTGAAGATGATGCATGACATGTACACATTTGCGTGAGATGGTCCCCAGGACCCATGCACTATTTTAAATTTGGTAGAAAATTTCGATGTGACCCTGAGCATGGTCCCATTAGCAGTCGGATAGGAGTGTGGCTGATCCAGTGTGACACTGAGTGGCTGTGGCCTGACAGGTTCATTACGACTTTCTGGGCTGAGAAAACACGAGGAAGGCAAAAACAAAAAAAAAACAGAGACCTCCCACCGGAAATCACGGCAGAGTGCTTCCCAGTCATCAGATCACAAATGACCTGATGGTGGTGGTTGCAACAACAGTGAACAAAGTAACTGTCACATTTTTTCTGGAATAAACTCGACTTCTGTCAGCAGTGATCATGACGACCTCCATATACTCCGTGATTGAAGGAGGGCTTCACCCAATGAGATAATTGCACAACAGCAAGAAAAATACTGAAAATCTTCTATCCAGTGGGCCTATGGCCGACCCCATACTCTTTTGGGGTTGGCCATACCCCCAAAGGATTGAAAAGATTTTGGCGGGAAGCTTTCTTTGCACGGGCATGCCCAGTGTTAAGGAGAGGAGGAGGGGAACAAAGATCTCTAGTACTTTTTTTTAGGTATTACTTGTACTTACTTTTTTGGGTATTACTTGTAAAATACTGACCGTCGGATCACTAGTACTGCACAGCAGGATTCGGGTCACTCAACTGCCACACAATCTCCTTTCTATCCTATCCCGTTGCTAGTGGGACCAGGCTCCCTGAGGCAAAAGTTATTCAGTTTATTTTTCTGCAAAACATAGCTTTTTCGGTTTTTTTTTTTTTCTTCTTTTTTTTTTTGGCTGGCACTCTCCCTGGTCCTTGCACGGCCGCACTGCCCAGGAAAACAGGGTGACGCGGGCGGCCCGGCTGCTAGCCTAGTGTGGCGGTGTGTATTTCCATGTTCTGGCGGGAGATTCATTCGGCAGCCGCAAAATTGGACACTCACCCTCTCTCTCTCTCTCTCTCTCTCTCTCTCTCTCTCTCTCTCTCTCTCTCTCACACACACACACACACACACACACACACACACACACACACACACAGAAATGGCAAGCCCACGGGCAAGCGGGAGCACAAGGCGATGCAGCGTGACAGCAGGTGGGCGCAAGGCAGACGGGCAACGGGCCCAATGGCGGCAAAGCAAGCCTCCCCAGCCCGCGCCAGTTCGTACGCCCGCAAAGCAGGCCTCCCCAGCCCCCGCCGGTTCGTACGCCCGACGGTCGGCAGCCATCCCCAGCCAACGCATGTTCCTAGGCCCGGCGGTCGAGATTTTCATATCTTCTTTTGTCTTTTTCAGCCTGGGCCCGCCAACCGAGGTCCCAAACCTCGAGACACCAGGTCTTGCGCCAGCATCATGCGAGACCCGGCTTTTCCTTTAGTAGTACAAGTGGACCCAGGGACGAACAGGGGGACGGGGCAGTTGTTGTTACACTGCAGGTTTTTTTTATATAGTTTTTTTTTTGTCGTCATATTCGCTATACACTCAAAAAAAACATGACTGTGGCAGACTGTTTCCTCTCTCTCTCTCTCTCTCTCTCTCTCTCTCTC